ATTTTATTTTCTGGTTCCAAGATGGCAACCCTCCCCTCCCAAAAGAAGCATTTCTGAGGGGCAAAAGGAGGGACTTCTGGCATTAAAGGTCAGGGTTTAGGGGCAGGACTTCCAGCCCCAAGATGGTGATCAGGGAGCAGAGCACCTGTCAAGAGACAGGGCTACCCTTGCGGCCCTCGACAGCGCACCACTCATTAAGCGACCTTCCAGACAAAATAATTGCTCGCCCCCAATATACATACACATGGTCCCTGCCTGACCACCCTCCTCCCACTCCCCTAGTCCCCTGCAGGCTGGAACTCTGCCAGCCTGCAGAGAGCTCTGCAAAAGTGGAAAGTCCATGTGTTTCTGTTAAAATGAGAAATCATGTTTTTCTCAGTTAAAATGGAAAATCCTCGTTTCTTTCCATTTTTCAGTGAGAAACAGAAAACCCAGATCCCTGGTCATATCTTATCCTTTTCAGTAGTTCTACTGCAATCAACTGGGCTACATGACAGTAAGGATCTCTTCAGTGCCAACAAGTGTGTCAAAATATGACTCACTCTGGCTAATAAATACAAAAAGAAGTAGCTGACAACACTGGCTTCAGAATTTTATGAGTCTAATAGAAACAGTTCATACTACCAGCATGAGGATAAACACTGTAAAATCAACCTGAAGCATTAACTAAACAGGGCTAGAGAACACAAAAAAATCTGGCACCCCCACACTTTATTTCAGTCATATTTGTCAAGCATATTTCTTTTACACTGATTACAAAACAGGAAAAACATAGCTGTGCTGATTTATGGGCCTAGTCCCTAATGGGGCTTCTACACACACACGCACACGCACACACAGACCCCCCCCCCCAGTGTTTAAAAATAAATAATAAAATCCACACGGTAAAATCCACCCAAAATGTACCTGTGCACTGTTAATGTTTGGGAAACCAGGACATACATGTCAGAAAATTGAAAAAGTCCAAGGTTTCAAAGCAGCCTTATTTCAGGCATGTTGTACACTTGGACATTTAAACTTGCAGATGAAATTCTGGGACTGGGAAAAGCACAGAGTACAACATTTCAGCCTCTACATGGCCCAGGCTCTCTGCTGACTATCTGTGCAGCAATCCAGTCTGCTAGTGCCAGCATGGTTAGCAGATCCCTTAGTTTGCTGGTTTCACTGGCATGCAAAAATATGCATATGGGCAGCAGTGGATTGTGGCGGCTGTTCTTGCCAACAACCTGCAGTGCTAACCTCAGGCCCCAAGCCAAAAACTGCAGGATTGGATTGAATATTCTGTACCTAGGTCAAGTTAAAAAAAAAATGGTGAGAGACCAGAATCAGGCCAAAATGCTTAAGGCAGCTCCATACTATTGGCAGCCTTAAGGGTTGAAGCCACCTTTAGCTTTAAAGCCTTAAGCAGGTGAAAGCAGCCTGAAGCTAAAGTGATTCAGCAGGCACCCAGCATTCCAAACAATGTTATGTTCAGAGCACTGTAAAATCAAAATAGAAATGCTTAATGCACTCCAGCTTTAACATGCATAGCTTTAAGGCTGCTGAACTGACTGTCATGAAATTTGGGCTGATTTTCCTTCCTTAGGATTAGAAAAATGCAATTCTGAGCTCATTTCAACCATTTCTGAGGTATGCCAGGAGGTATTGGAATGGATGGTAAAATGTCTTTTGGTCCAGATGACTCAGCTGACAAAGCAAATTAACCAATTCAACTCCACCTCTAAAAAAAAAAAAAAAAAAAAAAAAAAAAAAAAAAAAAATCACCTGAGAGTTGACAGCAAGTGTCGAAAAGAGAAAGACAAAAGGAATATGCCTGTAAGTCACAAGATTTGGGAAAAAGAATTGTGAATGACAACTGAAACAGTCTTAAAGCCATTCATTAATCATGAACTCTATGATATAATTTTCATCGTCTCCAATTTTAGACCAGCACCTATGACATCCAAATTCTCAAAACTGGATTTTCTGGGAACTGCACAGTGCTGCTATCAAGCCCATATTCTATTAGAAGGTATATTTACTAAGGCTGTGTGAAATTTCGCCGGCAGTTTCGTTTCAACTCGTTTTGAGATTGAAACAGCGAAACAGAAACAAAACAGAGAGCTCTGAAACAGGCTTGAATTGAAACGTTTTGAAATTTTCGAAACGTTTCCAGTTTTGAAGCTCAAGCTGGGTTTGCCTGCAGGGTAACAGAAACTAAAGTAAGGAGAGGGAGGGGGATGTGGGGGGGGACTGCTCTCATTATTAACTGTGTAGCTGTCCAGTGACTGTCACCCTTCCCTGAGGTCCCCTCCAATCCCAGTGCTCTGGGGGAGGGATGGAAAAGCTGCAGAAAAGGCAGCATTGTTTGAACTGCCTGCTTTCTGCCTTGCTGTCAGTTCCTGAGCTGTCTTCCAGTTTTGCCTGTCAGCAGCTAGGGGTGCAGGGCCCCAGAACCCAGACTCCCCCTGCCCCTGTCTCCTTGACAGCTGGCAGGCTTCCTGGATGCAGCAGGGCCTAGGAGGCCTGCAGTATTCACCCCCCTGTGCCCTAAGATAGACACAGTCAGTTGCACAAGCACCCACGTCACAAGTTTTGCCCGTCAGCAGCCAGAGGTGCAGGGCCTTAGAACCCCAAACCCCTGCACCGATCTTGATACCTGGCAGGTTTCGTGGCCTCAGCCGGGGCTAGCAGGCCTGCAGTGTTCACCCTGCTGCGCCTTAACACACGCACAGTGTCAGCCACGTTACAAATTTTGACTGTCTGCAGGTTGAGGTGCAGTTTCCCCCAAACCCCTGCACCAATCTTCTTGAAATTTGGCAGGCTTTGTGGCCTCAGAAGGGGCTGCAGTTTTGACCCACTGTGGCTTAACTCATGTGACATGAGTTTTGCTTTCAAGACTGAGGTGCAGTTTCTCCCAAACCCCTGAACCTATCTCCTTGAAACTTGGCAGACTTCATGCCCTCAGAAGGGGCTACCATTCCTCTGAGTTTCATCCAAATCAGGCCAGAAATGACAAAGTTATAGGCTGTCTTGAGCTTCCCCATTATAGCCTATGGGCGAAACAGCAAACCTGACCTGTTTCAACTAAATGAAACGGAAGAGCGGTTTCGAACTGAAATGAAATTCAAAATGAAACATGGTTCTGTCTCACGCAAGTTGAAATGGAACGGTGCCATTTTGCACAGCCCTAATATTTACCCAATCAGACCAAGAAGAGTATTTTAGACTTAACTTTGAATTTTATGGCTTTTGGCACAGTCTGTGGCACAACTTTAACCTTTTTCCAGTATTTTATGGTACCTTAGCACTTAATCCAAAACTGGGTGAAATGTAACAGTCCAGCCAACAAGCTGCAGGGGGGCTGCAGACCCAGGTCCCTGGCCCTGTACAGCCAACAAGCATCTAATACAAGTCTAGAGGAAGGATGCGCAAGTCCTTTTTGAACCTGTTCTGTACCAAGCAAATCCCATCTGCAACTTAGAACAACCTAAACGCCACTCTAAATTACACTATATTAAAGAGAGGTAGGTACAGCAGCCAGGGATCAGCAGAATGTTGACAAGTCCTGGCCAAATCCTTAGCATCAGCAGTAAGGAGATGGTGAAAGTTTTTCTGCTTACTCTAAGCTACTGATGGATCACCCTGCATTACAGTGATCCGCACAGAGCCAAAACTACTGCCTTCGGGACATAACCGTAACCAGCTCAGCATCAATTCCTGTACTCCAATGTTTAATTAAGACATTTTCTTATTCCTATTTGTTTAACTGAATTTCATGAAGGAATATCAGATTCTAGAAATCAAATCAGTTTCCATTGACAAGGTAACCATTGATTTTGCTTGGTAACAGTAGATTAGGCAAAGGCACAAGGGCCAGGAAATCTCTCTGTAGCTCTAGCAACTGTCATCCACTATTACTTTACAGACTGTTTGCATGTATCTGATAAGAATAAGATTGGCTGATATTGACAGATACATTCAGAAATATGTCATGCTTGAAAGCAAAGATGCATGCTTCAGCTATCATTAATGTATCTGCTTCAGTCAGTTATACCAATGCTGATCACCTGCACATCTGGGGTTACTCCAGATTTACAGCAGCGTGAATCAGAGTGGAATTTGTCCCCCTATGCTTGTGCTAGAACACAATTATCAAGTTTATTTTGATAAGGTTGGACCTTAAAAGTCCCTAAAGGGCCATCTATAAAGCAAATCAGAAGGATTGTAGGGCTAATCATAGGATCTTAAACTAACAGAGATTTAATCATATATCTTTAAAAACATTAATGACACTGTGGGGCATGACAATGCCAATTATTTGCCTCCATGCTAGAATGCCACTGCATATACAAATGTGAGCAGTTTGAAGGCCACATGACTTAAGAAAAGTTCAAAGGACTTTTTATTTCAATCTGGTTTGCAGGCAAGCATAACAATGACAATTACTTCTAATTAGTGCTTTCCAAAATGAGTGTGGAGGAGCTGAAATTGACTGAAGACAAAGCTAGATAGGAGAGGCTGAGCATGCTCTTGAAAGAGGCTGATCATCCCCCATCGATTTCAACGGGAGCTGAAATTACTCAGCAGTTCTCAGGATCAAGTCTGCAATGAACAGGATGCGTTTCTGCACAGAAGAGGTGCCCAGAATTCTAATACGATCCTAGGGAGGGCGCACGCTGCCAAAATGGTTGCAGCCAGAACATGTGCATGCATGTGTATTCATTTTCTCTTTCTCTCTCCCAGCCCCTCAATTCTGTGTGTGTGTGTGTGTGTGGGGGGGGGAATTAATACACATGCATGCATGTACATAGGAAAAAGAAGCAGTTGTTGCTTGGAGTTTAAAAGCTGAAGATTCCTAGCTGGAGTGACATATTTGCACAGAATATCCATCTGCCCTACTGCTCTACATTGTAGAGATGTCTGCAAAGCGCAGAAATATAAACTTTGTCAAAGAAACTGGGAGAAGAAGTTGGCTTGCAGTTGCTGCTGTTTCATGCACTGTAATTAGGTTTCCTTACCATTTTCTTTCACCCCATTAATCAGGATAGTTTCTTGGTCTTCTGAGGCACAATCCTTATCTTGTTGGTCATCCATCAATTTAACCTCTCTTTGTTCATTCCATGCCCCACTGCATCTGGCCAACCTGTACATTTCCAAAAACATAATCACCATCATTAAAATTCCTGAAATATGCTCACAGAACTGTGAGTAAAAGGAAACAATGCAAGCACCTGCTAACCCCATTTAAGAGGGCAAACTCCTGTTTATTATGGCCAAACAGCTATTTCCACTTTTTCCCTCCAGAACCTCTCGGTCCAACGTATTTCATCCAACTTAAAAAGATGAGTCCACATTTCTTCCCCAAATCCTTCTTTAGGGCTTCAAGCAATGCTTTTCACTTCTATAATGTCTTTCATACGATCTCCAATTGCTTTGAAAAGCAGGTAAGCACTATCTCCATTTGACAGATGGGCTAGCAGAGGCACCGGCAGAGGAGGAGACTAGCCCCAGATCAAGCAACTCTGCAGCAGAGCCAGGAACAGGAACTCAAGATCTCCTGACTGACAATCATATGCTCTAAATACTAGATAACACTCTCTTCTTTCAAGTGTTGGCAGGTAGGGAATAAATTTGCCTCAGGAGTGTTATTAGAATTATATTTATTCACCATTCTCCTGCTTCATCCCCGGGGAGCTTTGCCTCATTGTCCAGCCACCTTGTGTTGTGCTCAAAATCCCACTAGGCCAGAATTCTCATTTTGGTTACACTCGCTTGATTCTACCATGGAAGTTATGTACACCAAAATAAAGTAGAGCCCCTCCCAAGTTAAAATGATCAGATGTGGGAAGAAAAGCTGACTATACTGCAGAGTAGCGTAGCTGAATCTCTGTACGCAAATAGGGTAGGAGTAATCTGGGCCAAAGCTCTCAGCATCAGACATGACTTGCTGTGGATAAAGGTGGCAAATGTCTACCCTTAATTAATGAAAAATACGGTTAGAGTAATTTTTCCCTTGAAACATAACTTCAGTTCAACTTTTAATGCCATGGAACAAGGAGCAGATTGGAAATGGTTTGTTTTCCAATAAACTTTTGTCAAAAGTCTGATCTTTCTGCTCCTCAGGCCTTGCCAAGACAAGCTTCATGCATATTCAGATTTAAAATGGTGTCCTCTTACTTAATGTGAAATCTTTACAACCATCGCAACAAATGAGAACCTTTACTGAACCTTGAAGTGTTTTGTCACCCACATTAAGATAAGAACAGCAACCCTCAGAAGTGACATTCTTCTGCATTTTCAGAGAAAAGTTTAATACAAAGCATTCTACTTCAATGCAAATCCATATTTCAGAGCTGTCCAATGACAACCACTTGGCTAAAATGAGACTGTACTTTCACCAGTACCCACACACTTCCCAACATCTCAACTCCTTCTGAAGATATTAAAAGGTTTTGTTCAGTGGGCCAGAAAGCCAAATAAACCCACCATCATACCCAAGAGACTTTCAGGATTTTTATTAAATTTCCCCTGTCATAAATCATGCACCATTTGCAACATTTATAAGTAACTTTAAGAAGATAAGCCTGACAGATGCTCTACATTTTCCAACAACAGACTGCAGCATCCCGTCTCCTGCTTGCTAAACATGTGCTAAACATGTGCTCAGGAGATACAGATACTCCTGAAGTAGTAAGTGAGCCACATAACTCTTTTGGAGCAAGCCGCTTGCTGTGTAAGGAATCTTCCGACCTAGACACATGACACCAGGATAACCCACCATAACAGCAGTGTAAACAAGGAGTGGACACACAGGTCTGGGACAGAAGTTTCATAAACCAATTTGACCTAAATCAGTTAAGTCTGATTCTACATTCAACCAGGTTGATCTCAAACTAGTTTCAGCTATTTTGAAACTGGTTTATGTGCACTGAGCTTCTGTTCTGTTACAGGTTTTGACCAGTTTCTGAACACTTAAACTGGTTTATGTGCAACTTCTGTCCTTAGCCACACCGTCTAGCCCTGTGCTGGCGTCACGTAGAAGAATCCAGTGTTGAGTTACTCCAGGAAAATCAAGGAGAGGACAAAACCAGTTAAAACATTTTGTGGCTGCTTCTTTCCTGGGGTAGCCATTTGTATAACACAAACACGTTCTTACTTGCTCCCCCACCACTTGGTTGCAAGGCTTTCTAGTAGCACTTTCTGTGGCAGACTCCAGGAGAATCTGTCATCCATCTGCTCTGGACACTGGAGTAATGCACATTGTTACTGTACAAACACATCAAGGAGTGATACTAAACAAAACCCTTGTGTCTGTCTAGTAGTTTTCCAGGTGGCATACACAAGTGCAGGGACTATTCGTGTCAATTAAGCACAGGTGATTATAGCTGAATGACTGCACATTCAGTTGTGGACACTTCCACATATTTGAACTGTCTGCTTACAGCAGGGCTGTCCAACTAGCAGCCCATGGGTCACATGTGGCATCCAAAGGGTAAGCACATGGCCAGTGGGCTCCTGCTGTGGCAGCCAGATTCTTCAGGCTCCCCTGCCCTCCTCCAGCTTCTGCTTCCTGCCCCCTGCCCTTGGGATCTGGAGGGGGTTGGGTGCCCAAGCTACATGCGTGATAGGCCACGTTGCTTGCCTTGCGCATAAAAAATGCAGGACCCAGGCTACCTGCGCTGCAGGTGGATACATGGCTTGGAGGGGAGGAGGTGCTGTGTCTGTGGCTGAGGGGAGCCAGGCTGTCTGTGCTGCAGGGGGAGAAGGGGTTGTCCGTGGCCAAGAGTCAGGGGAGCTGGGCTGCTTATGTTGTGCATATGATGGGGGGAAAATGT